AGGGAGGCAGAAAAAGATATGGAGAGAGATCAGGGAAGAGAGAAGGATGGAGAGAGAGGATGTCTTTCACCTGGAAGGTGCTAACTAAACATTCGTTGAATGCTCACAGCACATAAATGAATTAGTGAATAAACAGGCGTGTGTGTGTGTATAGATGAGGGGTGTAGAGATGTGAGGTATGGGGAGAGAGATAGGGAAGAAACAAGTGATATGAATAAAGATGGTGAGACAAAAAGAGTGGAGGACAGAGATATGAGATAAGGAGAGAGGTGAGGGGAAGTGATGTAAGAGGAGATAAGGCTAGGATGACTGGCACACAGAAGGCACTCAGTGAAATCATTGTTGAATGGATGGATGAGCCTTGATGCTCAGAGAGGGAGATATGGAATGATACTGAAAAGAAATCATACTAGTTATCAGAGAAGCCACTGTGAGAGGCCATCTTGAGATGAAGGCCTTCACTAGCAGTGGGAATTAAGAGGCAGAGAGATACCTAAGACATTTCAGAGGCAGAATGGATCAGACTTAGAGATTGTGTGGATGGGGGATTAAAGGAGAAGGCAGAATAGGATAAATCCTGAGGATTTGCCTTAAGTGAGTGGATGGCTGTATTTCCATTCACTGAGACAGAATACAGGGTGCTGGCCCAGTATGGCAGACACTGATGATTTTGGAGTGCCCCTGTAACATTCTGGAGGAGTATCAAGAGGGGAGTTAGCTATTCTGGACTCAGACCTCAAGAAAGAGGTCTGAGATAAAGGTGCAGACTGATATGAAGATATAGCTTGGGGAGGCAGTGGTTAAAACTGTGGCTAGGACAGGGTTGCCTGGGTAAGTCCATTGCAGATGCTCAAAATGTGTTGATTCAAACTGAGAGAAACTCCAACAGGAGAATGGTATGAATGTCCTTGTGTAGGGTACAGGAGTCTGGAGGGACTCAGGCCTGACTGCTCTTATGTTCCTGTGAAAAAGCAGGTAAGATGACAAAGTGGAACAGCTTCCATAGTGATGAGATCTAAGGTGTGGGTCATGCAGAGTCAAGGTGTTGGCTGGAGTGGACAAGTGGAAGCAACTGTGAAATCCAGGATGGAAAAGTCATTTGCAAGACATATGCAAAAATGTTCGTAGGAGCCCTGGCCAGCTCACTCAGCTGGTTAGGATGTCACCCCAATGTGCCAAGGTTGCGGGTCCAATCCTGCTCACAACACATACAAAAATCAACCAATGAATGAACAGACAAGTAAAATAACAAATCCATGTCTCTCTCCCTCTCCCTCTCTCTAAAATCAATTAATCAGTCAATAAAAAAATTAAAACATTTAATTAATTAATTTATTTTTAGAGAGGGGGAAGAGAGGGACAAAGAGAAGGAGAGAAACATCGACGTGTGAGAGAAACATCAATCACATGCTTCCCCTGGCTGGGGTAGCTCAGTGGATTGAGCGCGGGCTGGGAACCAAAGTGTCCCAGGTTCGATTCCCAGCCAGGGTACATTCCTGGGTTGCAGGCCATAACCCCCAGCAACCGCACATTGATGTTTCTCTCTCTCCCTCCTTCCTCCCTAAAAATAAATAAATAAAATCTTAAAAAAAAGTAAATCTAAGTGTGTTTAAAAAAAAAAAAAAGAAAAAGAAACATCAATCACATGCTTCCTGCATGCCCCCAGTTGGGGACCTGGCCTGCAACCCAGGCATGTGCACCCTGACTGGGAATCAAACCAGTGACCTTTAGTTTTGCAGGATGATGCCCAGCCCACTGAGCCACACCAGTCAGGGCAATAAATAAACATTTTAAAAAAGAATGTTCATAGGAGATTTACTCACAATAGCAAAAAAAATAAGAAACAACCCAATTGTACATTATGAGGTGAATGGATAAACAAAGTAGTATAGTCCCGGCTGGTGTGGCTCAGTGGACTGAGTGCTGGCCTGTGAACCAAAGGGTCGCCAGTTCCATTCCTAGTCGGGGCACATGCCTGGGTTGTGGGCCAGGTCCCCGGTTGGGGGTGTGTGAGAGGCAACCACACATTGATGGTTCTCTCCCTGTCTTTCTCCCTCCCTTCCCCTCTCTCTAAAAACAAATAAATAAATATCTTAAAAAAAACTAGTATAATTGACATTACTCAGCAATAAAGGCACAAGCTACTGAGGTGTGCGACAACATAGGTGAATGTCACAGACATTATGCAGATTGAAAGAAGCCAGATACAAGAGTGTATACCACATGATTCCATTTATATGAAGTTTAAAAACAGATTAAACTGATCCATAGGAGTTTAAAATCATGGATTTATAACCCTAATAGATTACAGGGAGGGGCGATGGATTGACCAAAAATGGACATGGGAAAATTCTGGGGTGATGGAAATGATCTATATCTCAATTGCAGTGCTGTTTGATGACTCACCAGAGGTGGGTCATCAAACTATACTCTTAAGACCTGTGCATTTTATTGTATATACTATATCTCAGTGTTTAAAATGTCATCTCCCTGGACATTAAGCCTTCCAGAGAGATGACAGAGGTTGAAATAGAGGGGAAGCCAGAGAATCAGATGCCATCTGTCAGTGAATGTGGGGGAGGTTGGACAAATGCCAGGGGAAGAATGAAGGTGATAGATCCAATGCTCTGACCCTCAGAGAAGAAATTGTGGTCAGAAATTGAAAGTATAAACTGGAACCGTTAATTAGTTTGAAAACACTTATAAGGAGTTGGCCAGAGATGTCACTCATATCTCACCCCTTCCCACACTTAGAGGAAGAAACACCAGGTGAGGTGGAATCACCTGTGTTGGGGTTCCAGAGTCCCTTCTGGGTCGTCACTTCTTCACCTGCTCTGAGCTCTGAGGTGGGAGTTTACTTGTTCTGATCACACTGAAGTCAGCCCACAGCTGGATGTTAAAGAAGTTAGACCAGCCCTGGCTTGGTAGTCCAGTTGATTAGAGGATCATTCCTATACACCAAAGTTGCAGGTTTGATCCTGGCTCAATAATTAACCAACGAATGCAAAACTAAGAGGAATAACAAACTGATGTCTCTCTTTCTCTCTCTTTAAAAATCAACTTAAAAAATAGGCTAGATATGTGTGTATATCCACTTCACACCTTTTATTTTTATTTTATTTTAATCTTTTAAAACATTAATTTATTTTTATTGTTTATGCCATTACAGTTTTTCACTCTTTTTCTCCCTTTCTCCACCTCCACCCAACAACTTTTCTATTCATTGCCTCTCCTCTTGAGTCTCTGCTAAAATTTTCTTTTGAAAAATTCCATCCTTGTGTGCGCTGAGCTGATTTGCATGGCAGTTCCCATCCTTCGGGTGAAAGTTCCCCAGAGCATCTCAGAATTATTGAAAAAATTCTACACAGAATTTATTCTAGATGGACTTAAGAAATCTAAATATTGTCTTTGGAGTCCACAGCATTTTTGTATATTTAAAATCGTAAGTAAATAAAAGATAGAGAGAACAAAACACCCGTGAGTTCAGGCCCAGCTGTCACATGGGTCATCCTGGCCCGTGACTGGGGAGGAACTAGGGGCTACCAGACACTGAGCACCCAGCACAGCAGGATCTGGGAGTGACAGATGCTACTATTCCCATTTTCCACATGTGCTAGTAGTGGAACCAGGACTCCAATTTAGGCTGACTAGACTTCTAAGCTATGTTGCCTTAGGCCATGAAGTAGAGCTCTGTAAGTGAGTATGCACTGTGACAGTAAGGTTTTACTTTCAGGCCAGTCACCCATTCCAGCCCCCGCCCCCACTCCACTAAGTGGTCACCTTCTCTCCCTCTCCAAACCATGGGTTTCTCACAGTTGAGTGAACACCCAATTTTCTCTACATTTACTCTTTGTGGGGTGGTAGGTGTTGATAGCAAGAGGCAAGGTAAGGGACAGGGCAGAAGCTAGAATTTAAGATCCTGGGGAGGCTTCTCATGCAATGTAGCCACCAGGGGGCAGCCCTTGCCTTGCCTTGGCACCGCAGTCCCACACCCTCTGGTTAGGCCCCCCTGGCAAGCGTCCTGGCCTAGATGGTTCAGAGTAAGTTAAATAATTTGTTCAAACTTATATAACTAGTTTGTTGGGGAGCTGGCATTTGAATCCAACCTGACTCTAAGACAGAATTCTTAAGCATGAGATTACTGCTTCTCTAGAAAAACAAAACAAAACACTCCAGTTCACTGCAGTAGAAGGGGGACTATGGGGGCCACGGGGAGGAGTTGGAAACACAGACACAAAGAAAAATAACGTGTTGATCTGAAAGGAGCCAGAGAGAAGTGTGTGGTGAGAGCTGGGCCCATGTTTCACCAGACACATTACAGATAATCTTTTTTTTCTACCTGCTGTGTTGTCTCACAAAGGTCTGTAAGATACATGTGTGGCATACTCTTGTATTAATCCCTGTATAACTTTGCAGCCACATGTAACATAATGTATCTTTCATTTGTGTCTCTACAAACACATTTCATGTAATGGACACTTTGTAATTTCTCAATAAATGTTAGTTAAACAATGAATAAAATAATAAATGAGTGAATTTACCAGTGGGTGATAAGTCCATGCACCGAGTTCTCCATAAAGCAGACCTCTGTGAGAGGTGAATTCCTTTAGTGGAGATCTGGATGAGTCCAAGCATCTCCATCAGCTGCACTCACTTTGCCAAACCTTCCTAGTCAACAGCCAAAGTTAAACAGGGACTAAGTCCCTAGCAACCCTGTCACCACCACCAATCAGTTTGCTTCTCCTAAACCCTACAATTATAGAATTTCTAGAGCTGCTCTGGGGGAGATCCAGATTCAAGGGAAAAAAATGAATGGGGTGGGCCTGGGCCCTGTTGACCCAAGGGGTGGGGACATAGGTTAGCTCTGGGCCAGGAGGGCTCTGGGAGGTGCTTCTGGGTTAAGGGTTGGTCTTCTTGAACATCGGAAGTTGGGGGAACCACATCCTGGTCTCACCTGCCCACCCACCCACCCTGGTGTTACCAGACATTTAAGCCCTACCTTCTCTCTCAAATACTTAGGCAACCTGCTCTCACCTCCTCGTGACCCAGATATCACCATCAGCAGAAGCCTCTCTCCTCAGAGAGTCATGCATTTCATGCCCAAGGTCCCAGGCGGTTGAGGTTCTTGGCAAGTGATATGTGAGTCCTGTGGGTCATAGAAAGCTTTCCGCCCTCATCGTCACCAAAGGCCTTCGAGACCAAAGACCATTCCTCCTTCGCTCAGACCTCACTGCCCAGGTTCCCTTCAACTGGAATGTCCTCCGGCACAGCCCAGATGATGTTGCTCATCTTTATCGCGGTCCATCCAGGTGACAGGGCTTTCTCCCAGGACTCTGAGGGCTATGGGGCTGGGAGGAGGAAGAATGAGGGAGGCCGGACATAGATGTCCTGCGGTGCAGGCTGGTGGGGGCTGAATATTGAGCCCTGAGGGAGTGGCAAGGAAAGGATAGTGGGAGCACGTGGCCCTCCACAGAGCTGAAATCCAGGGACTCCGCAGTTCAGTTTCTTCCATGTTGCCTGCTGGCGGGGTCACTCCCCAGCTTCCACCCAGAGCTCTTTTCTCCTCAGCCACCTACCTAAAAGGATAAAGTTGAAAGGGCCAATAAAATCGACTTGAAGGGATCCATTTTTTTAAGGGGTCAGTTTGAATTTGATGAGCGTAATAAGCCAATTAAACAAGGCTTATTATCTGGGTCTAGATATAATTAGGAGTTTGGAAGGCCTAATTAAATCTGAGATAAGTTTCTTAGTGAAGCTGGTTTTAATTAACTGAGAGACCTTACCTATCAGACATATTCCTTAACTAAATGCAGTGTGGACTCCAGACTTGTAGCTTCAGATCAGCTGGAACCTGGGGCAAATCTAGGCCCCACTCCTGACCCACAGAATAAAAAAGTCTGGGGATGGGGCCCAGGGAGCTGTTTTAACAAAGACTCCAGGTGATTTCAATGAGCTTTTAAGTTTGAGAACCACTGAAATAGAAGAATGGCTGGTAAATTTCACTAATCAGAGAATTTGATCAGGGATTTTAATAACTGGTTTAATTCATCAATTTAGATCATTTAAATAGGGATCGCAATCAATTACAACCAGGTCCTCACCTGATGTTTTAAGTAGTTAATGCTCTTTAACAAAAACCAAAGTAGCAAGGGTGGTATACTATAGGATGTCATTAGCACAGAAATAATACCTGGGATGATATAATTAATGCTATCAGTGAACTAGGCAGCCACATTCATTTCTGAGATTCAATTTCATTGTGACAGGTTAAATTTCAGCAAGATGTTACTGGTGAGTGTAGCTGGAAAATGATGAAAGCTGAGTGTGAGAATTGGTACAGGAAAGAATTGAGAATGATTTAATAAGCAATGTTAAGACATTAGATTGGTAAATAGGAATAGGTTTAATGAGGCACATGATGTGTTAGTCCCCTGACTCTCTGTGGGTTAGTGACAGCTGGGATATTCTACTGCAAGCTCTCTTGTCTTTTCAGAGTGACTGGGGAGGCATTTATCTGGGTCTTCTCTCTGCCCCTAGAATCCTGTGCTCTCTGGGTGTCCCAGCCCCCTGAGATTCGTACCCAGGAAGGTGCCGCTGTCCTCCTGCCCTGCTCCTTCAATGCCAGCCAAGGGAGACTGGCCATTGGCTCCGTCACGTGGTACCGGGATAAGGTGGCCCCAGAGAAGGAGGTGAGGAACAGGACTCCAGAGTTCAGGGGCCGCCTGGCCCCTCTTGCCTCTTCCCGCTTCCTCTGTGACCACCAGGCTGAGCTGCAGATTTGGGACACCCGAGGCAGTGACGCTGGAATCTATGTGTGCAGTGTGGAGGTGCTGGGCCTGGGTGTCGGGACAGGGAATGGGACCCTGCTGGTGGTGGAGAAAGGTGAGGCCCCAGGAGGCTGCATGTCCTTGGCTAGAGGCTCCACTCTCCCTGGAAGAGGGAGTTGAGAGTCCTTCCCTGAGGCTCCCTGCCCTCTCTCCCTCCCTGAGCCTGTGCACATTATTCCCTGGGTCCCCTTTACCAAGCTCTTCTTCTTTACCACCCATATGCAGGACCTCCTCAGCTAGGGGCCCTCACAGTCCTCCTCCTTCGGGCTGGATTCTACGCCTTCAGCTTTCTCTCCGTGGCCATGGGCAGCACCATCTATTACCAAGGCAAATGTGAGTTATGGAGCCATGGCAATGGAAGAGATGGAGGGGCAGTGAGAGAGGTGGAGGAGGAGGAGACCGAGATCAAGAAGAGAATTGACTCTGGCCATGTCACCACCAGGCCACTGTCACATGGGAACACACTGCCACAGCTTGGATGGCCTCTGCTAAGTGATTCCAGATCCCAGTGCTCATCAGAAGACCCCAATAAATCTCTCTCTCTGTCCCACCATTAACTTCTAATAGGTCTCATGTATTTCCTTCCACATTTTCTGGATACCCTGGTGTGCTCTTCTCCAGGTTCCCCTGATTCTTAACTCTCCCTTCTGCTAAGCCTGACCTAGAAAGGTCCAAGAAGGGAGCTTCCCAGCAATTGTGCCTAGAACCCCTCCCACCATTATCCTGGGGCTCAACAGAATAGGACCCAATTCCCCTGGGCCCAGGAGGCTGAGGCTGATTCTCCTGAGAAATGAGACGTATCAAATCTGATTGGTCCTACTTGTCAGTTGCCCATAGACAAATATAAAAGTCTGCCCCAATCCACAGGAGATATATTTCAAAACCTCTGTTTTTTTTCTGCATGTACATATCTATGATAAGCATTAATTTATGAATTAGGCACAGTAAGAGATTGAAAACAATAATAATAAAATAGAACAATTATAACAACATACTATAATAAAAATTATATGGATGTGGTTTCTCCCTCTCAAAATATCGTATTGTCCTGTACTCACCCTTCTTCTTGTGATACATGAGATGAACAATGCTTGCCTAGGTGATGTGATGAAGTGAGGGGACCAACGTGAAAGGCGTAGGCACAGGCACTGTGGCAGAGTGTTAGGCTGCGTGCGATACGGGTGACTTGAACACAAACACTGCAATGCTACAATGGCTGGTCTTGTAACCCAGTGGGATGCACTGCAGCTGGGTAGCGTATCCAGGGTGGATTTGTGCACAAACGGATGACTCATGTACCAGGCAGGATGAGGCGGGACAGCATGAAATCTCAGCAAGCTACTCAGAATGGTGTGCAATTTGAAACTTAGGAATTGTTTACTTCTAGAATTATCCATTTAGTATTTTCTGCCTGCAGGTAACTGAAACAGTAGAAAGAGAAACTGCATACAAGGGGTGGGGCAGGGGCTATTATACTCTGTTCTGGCCTCAGGGGAGCTTGGGTCCCTAAACACCCTTCTTCATCCAATAAGTCACTACTTGATCCCAGAGTGGGTGGGAAGGTAAGTGAGTTAAGTTCTGATGGTGGCCATATTGAATGGGGGCTTGAGATAGACTGAGAAGTCTGAGACATGGGAGGCCTCAAGACTATGGTCTTTGCTGGGTGAGCCACAGGATGTTTGCCTGGGTTGAGGGTGGTATCTGGGGGCTCAGGTGGGTTTGTTTTCAGCAATGCAGGTGTAGTTGGTGCTGGGGTCCCCCATGGAGCCTTCCCTTTCTGGATCGCCAAAGTCAGGTCGCTTGCAGTAGGGCAGCCTCCACAGAGACGCATGGTGGAGTTCCTGCTCCTAGAGGCCAGTGCTGAAGCTGACAGGAGGGAGGTGACAGGAGAGGCCTCCCTCAGCGGAGCCTGACCTGTGAGTGCTTGCCCCACCCCCACTTTCTTACATCATTGCCTCCTCAGTCTCTCCTCCCCCACACCCCTCCCTTCTCCCCTCAGCTCAGGCTCTTTTCTCCTGTTTCCCTTTGGCTCTGTGTCTCACTGTCCACCTCCCTCCATCCCCGCCCCTTACTCTAATTCTCCCTCACTTTTCTCTTGGTGTCTCTCTTTTCCAGAGCCTCTTTTATTGTCTCTTTGGCTCTCACTCTTTGTCTCTCTCATTTCTCCTCTCTTTCTCTTTTGTTTTACTTCCTTTTCCTATCTCTACACCATTTCTTTCCTCTCTTCTACCCATTCTCTTGTTTCTGTTTTTGCCTCTCTTTTATTTTTATCTCAGTGACTCTCTCATGCTCCTGCTTTCTCTCTCTTCCCTGGCCCCCACCATCTCAAGCTTCAGCCTTCTCTAGTGGCCCCCTCACCCACTTCCCTGCCCCCTGCACTCACCTAGCTCCTTTCCAGCTTCCTCACTGAAAGAAAAAAAAGGTCAGCATGGCCCAACCTTTGTGCTTCCCAATCCTCCTGAGTGTCCCCCACAGTTCCTCACCCCCTAGGTCTGTTCCTCACTCGTTGACTTGCCTGTTGTTCCCATGGCCAAAGCCCTGGACTCTCTTTTTGGACACTCTCCCTTCCCTCTCCCACCAGCTTCTCCCACCTTCCTCACCAGGGCGTGTCAGGGTTGATGGGAGCTTCTGGGAAAGCGGTAAGAAAGGGTGTGGGTGGGGTCCCTTGGGGCATTGCTGGGCGGTGATGACGGAGGTCAGGGTGGGCTCACCTCCCTGATGCAGCCGACACATACAGGAGGACAGAACCACACCAGGAGCCCTCCCAGCCCTGAGCTGCCATAGAGGTAAAGGCATTTGTCTGTAGGGAAAAGGAATGAGTATGAGAGGGCCCCTTTCCCTCTTCAGTTTACCTCATCTTCCTGGTTGGTGGGGATATCTCAGTGACCCCTCCTACAGTATTAGAGGCAGGCAAATACACTCTCCGAGATTCTTCCCTCACCTCCTACCAGAGGGACCCACCCATCATTGGCTATGTCACTCGCTCCTGAGACCTCTTATCCCTCAGAGGCTCCCATTGCCATCCCTACTGCTTCTGGGTCTCCCCATGAAGTCCCTTGCCCACCTCACTGCTGGTCCTGAGAGGTTACTTACTCATAAACTGCACACATCCCTTTTCACACACTGCACCCTGTGCGAGGGTCACCTCGCCTGCTATCAAGTCATTCAAATCTGCCATTAGGTTGGGGACTGAAGGAAGACTGGCCTGGAGGTCAGAAAACCTAGCCCCTGCCCTGCCAGCCTAAATGGCCTGGGGTGAGTCACGTGCCCCAAGTTCCTCATTTGTAAAGTACAGGCCCTCTGTTATAATCTTCCCAGGCCGAGTACCCTCACTCCTGTCCAGCCCTGAACTGGGCCCTTTCCATTCATCACTGCACATAGGAGGGTGCGGTGGTGCCCATCTCTCTGGTGAGGAACCAGCCTGGAAGTGCCAGAGCTGGGGTTCAAGTTCAGTTTGTCCAGCTCCAGAGCCCATCCCCTTTTGCCTGCCTCAGGCTGACTATAAGGGCCTTCCCAGCACTGGATACTTCTAAGTTCTGTTCAGAAAGGGAGTTGATGGAAAAGGACAACCCAGAGTTTGGAATGCCTGTGGGGACTGGTGGAAAGGTAGGGAGGGCAGTGTCTGTTAGAATGTACTGGGACTTCAAGAACAAAGCCACCTCCTATGCTATAACAAAGAAGGTATGCGTCACCAGCTAAATACCTGACTACTAACCACGACATTCCCTGTTACCAGAAGCAACTGAGACAGCTGCTGGCATCCTTCTGGAAACCTGTTGAATCCTCACTGTCCTCCCCTCTCCTTCGAGCTTTTTCCAGAGGGAAGGCCCATAAATCTTCCTGACTTTCTGCCACCGAATCAGCCATCACTGATCAGAGGACATCGTCTTGCAAACACCTATGCCCTGGACACCTGGGGCAGATCAGCAGGGTGACCCACCCTCCTCGGAGGTTGGCTATGCACCCTTAAAAATCCTGCTGCCCTTTCCCTTGCTGCTGCAGACTGCTCGGACTCGGCCTGCCTGATCTCAGTGTCTCGGCCTTGAATGAAAACCCTTAATTGGACCTTTTTATCTCCTGGTCCTTTCTTAGCCACCATGGTGACCTAAAAATATCCAGCACCACCTGGCCCCTGAGGGACTCAGGGGTCCTCTCCTTCAGCCCCAGAGGGACTCAGCAGAGCTTGGAGAGCTGTTTCTCTTGGGCAGATTCTGTGGGGCTGAAGTGGGCCATGGAGGAGTGGCTGGGGCCCCATAACTTCCCTTCAGGCACTTCCTGCCTACAACCACTGGTTCCTGTTTGAAGGCAAAGAGGCGGCCTCTGACTTTACCCCAGAGCCAGATGCACTGACCAGAGTCTGAAAACTGAGACCCTCCTGGGTACAAGAGGAATTCTGGGCTGTATGGGGTGGTGGGGGTTGGTGGGGTTGGGAGCAGAAGCCCAGGTGGAGAGGAGGGCCTGAGGTGGCCACGGAAGGCAGTAGGGGCAGAAGTGGATTGTTTTTAATTTTGGAAGGGAGCAGAGACAGAGGGTGGACAGAGGACTCCTCCAGGGCTGAGGGGACCTCAAAGCTATACTTTTTCACCATAGCCTCATGTTACTCCGGGGTGTGCCTGTCCCACACCCTCCCCCAAGGGTCCCTGCATCTTTCCAGCTTACCCGGAGCCTATGGCCTGCAGGGGGTTGAGGGCTGGGTTGGGCAACTGGCTGGAACTGCCTGGGTGGAAGGAATTGTTGACACCTGTGACATTCTTGCCCCTTCTCTGGCTTTCACTTCTCCCCCCAGCCTTGAGGCCTCCCCAGCATTGTTAGAACAGGAAGTTAGGCTTTACCGTAGGGTTAGGACATTTTTCCTTTCAGACTCCTCAGACTGTAAAGAAGCCTGTAATCCCTCTCAGATCCTGCCATCCTCTTGACTCTGCAAGGAGTCAGTGACTGCATACATCCTCCAGGTGCCTTCCCTGATTAACTCTCTCCCAGTTACTTCTCGAACTGCATCCACTGAGAGCTCATGATCTCAGTGTATGTGTGTGGACACACCCTAGCTCCCACAGCAGACTGGGAGCTCTGGTGCTTTTGAGGTGACTCACCTTCTCCTGTTCCGGGCTCTATCTAGCAGGGTGCTTGGCTGACGGATTTACAAACGGGAAAGTCTAGGCAGCCAGACTAGATCTACAGAAGCGCTGCTGTTAGATCTAGGAGAGAAAGTTGATGACAAATTGATGTTTTGAAAAAAGGGATGGGTAATCCAGGTGGACTTTTGCTAGAGGCAGCATTCTGATATTAAGCACAAAAATAAGTAAGGGCAGTAGTCTGAGGCCCTCTGGACAGGGTCGTGGCTGAAGCCTTCTTAGTGGCACTGTGATGGTCAGGGAGATGTGTGCTGGAGGGCTGCACACCCGTCCCTGAGGAGGGTGGACTGGGGAACTCAGGGAGGCAAGGGGTCGGGAGGAGATCTGGTGCCTGGGTCTGTAAGCATTTGCATTTTCTTCTCCAAATTCAGAAACTTTTTGCTATTTCCTCTCACTCCCCCTTCATATTGTTTTTTTCTCTCTTGCAGGACAGTAGGATAATATTCAGTTTGGGGAAGTTTTATACATTTATTATTAAAAAGTTTAAACACAGAAAAAATGGAAAGAATTGTACAGTGAACGTATCCCTACCATCTAGATTCTACAATTAAACATTTTTCTACATTTGCTATATCACTTATCTATCAATCCATCTGATTTTTTGATACCTTCTGAAGTTGCAAACATCAGCACATTTCATCTCTAAACCCTTTGCCATGTTTAGCATTGACTGAGTTCATTATTTGTTTCTCTGTTTCTCTTTTGGAGAGCTGAAGAAAGCAAAATTTACATGTAGTGAAATGCACAAATCTGAATTCACTTAGCTTTTAAACTTTTTTTTTTTAAGATTTTATTTATTTATTTTTAGAGAGGGAAAGGAGGGAGAGGGGGAGAGAGAGAGAGAGAGAGAGAGAGAGAGACATCAGTGTGTGGTTGCTGGGGGTTCTGGCCTGCAACCCAGGAATGTACCCTGGCTGGGAATCGAACCTGGGACACTTTGGTTCCCAGCCTGCGCTCAATCCACTGAGCTTATGCCAGCCAGGGCTAGCTTTTAAACTTTTGATCAAGGCTCTGGAGCCAGGTTGCCTGGGTTCAAATTCCAACTCCACCACTACTGTGTGACTTTCCACAAGTTCCTTAATGTCTCTCTGTCTCAGTTTCCTCTTATAGGATTTTCATTGTGATTAAAAGAATTATTATATATAAAGTGTATGCATCAGTTGCAGGCACATGCTAAGTGCTGTTTACCTACTAACTATATTGTTATTATTATCCAAACACACAGAGATGTCGCCGAGAAAGGGAGATGATCTGCGACCACCTCTAACTTCCTTGGACTTGGTCTTTCCCTCAACTCCTACCGCATGGTCTGCCCTAACGTTCGTTTGATCTGTGCTGCCTGATCTTGCTTACTCATTCATTTGTCCTTTCTTCATTTATTCATAAACACTTAGTCAACACCTACTCAATGGATGGAGCTCATTCTGGGCTGCAAAGCTCTTCAAGGACATGCCTTATGGTTTTCTTATGTGTACTCTGCAGCCAGTAAGGTAATGCTCATTCCATCCCTCCTCGGTGAGACCCCCTTCAGCTGCCATTGCTGTGGAGACTCAGTTCTAGGGGCTGGGGGAGACAGGAATGGAGGAGGTCAGTCCAGTGTGGGGAAATGTTCTTCTTAGGGACCTGGATGTCCATCTCTCAAGACCCCAGTTCTTGACATCAGGGATGTGGGTGCAGCCCTCTCTCCAGCACCCTCCTCTGGGGTGCAGAAGCCTACAGGATGCACTGGATATTGGGAGTTCTGTGTTCTCATTGCAGCTTTGCTACCAGACTTTTCGGCAAGCTACCTGCCCTGCCTGGGCCTCAGTTTCCCTCCCTATTGAGCCAGAAGATCTCTAAGATCCCCTCCAGATCTATGCTGAAAGCCTGTCTCTTCACCTCAACTCCTTCCCCAGTTCAAGGAACCCCGGCATCCAGCTGCCCCACCCCAGCTCTGGGTAAACAGGAAGCTGGGTGAGGGGAGCAGGGGTGTGTGGAAAGTCCCAAGCAGGTGTGTGGGTCTATGGGGAGGGTGGGCCCCACCCCTGAGATATGAAAGCCCCCTTCCCCTGGCCCTGGCTCAGTCTCAATGGGGGCGCTGGGGCTGGAAGGCTGGGGGAGGAGGCCCCGGGGGAAGGGCTGCCTCCTGCTGGCTGTGGCAGGAACCACTTCCCTGGTGACCTTACTGCTGGCTGTGCCTATCACTGTCCTGGCTGTGCTGGCTGTGGTGCCCCAGAAGCAAGGAGGACCGGTGAGTGGCCACAAGAACCCAGAGGGCTGTTGCTCATGCTCACTTATTTTGGGCTATGTCTGGGGTCTCTTGCGTCACCTGCTCAGCTGGCTTGGCTGTCTCTGGCAGGGGTTTCTGCTTCTCCTCTTTGCTGGCTCTTTCCCTGTTCCTGTGATGCTGTTGTGTCCTGATGTCTGCAAGGCCCTTCCTGGTTGTCTCTCTGTCTCCTCCCTCTTCCCAAGAAATACTTAGGCCTCAGTCTGCCTGTCGAAGTGTATCTACCTTGATTGCTCCCCTGCTGGGGAATGGATGTTGGGCTGGGAGGTTGGGTCTATGGTTGAGAGGGGTGGGACTGGCATCAGCGGAGACTGAATTCTGGCTACTGTGACCCCACCCACTCAGGTAACGGAGACCACTGACCCCGGGGCACAAGCAAAGGCTCAGCAGCAACTGGGTAAGAGCAGATCATCTCCCGTCCCGGCTCCAGCCCCTTAGGGACTCCCATCTCTCATCCATCTGCATCCCCAGATACTCTCTTACTCTCCGTCCAGGAATCCAGGTGCCCCATCCCTGGGCCCTGGCGCCCTGTCTTCTCAGGACGATCATGCCTGGGTAGCCGCCCCGTCCCAATCGTGGACTCTTCGCCCCTTTCAGGGTCCCAGGAGCTGCCTGAGCAGGACTCAGAAACAGATCCCAGCCCCAGGCTCCCAGCTGCTCACCTCATAGGTAAGAGTCTCGTAGATCTGAATAGTCCAAGGGGGCCAGTTCTGTTTGCCCATTGTTAGAGACCCTTTACTCCGTTATTGCAGTGCCCTGGGCCTTACTCAATTCACCACCTCTCGCCCCTAATGAGCCACACTTCCACCAGCCCCACATTCCAGCTTCTGGCTTCCCTACGGGAGCAGGCAAAACCTGGCCTGGATCTCCTCCCCAGAGCCGCGCTCCACACCCTGCCCAGGTGCCCTCAGTCCCCAACTGCACCCATTGCAGAGGCAGCACCCTTACCCTGCCCTCTCCCAGCTTGGTTCCCACAGGGGGTTAGAAGCGGCCCCCCCCCTGCCCCCCTGCCCGCCCTCCCAGGATATCCCGGCCTCAATCGCTCCTCTGGGATCGGATTTCCGAGAGCCGAGCCGACCCACCCATTTCTCCGCAGGCGCCTGGACGCAGGGACAGGGTCTAGGCTGGGAGGCGGAGAAAGAAGAGGCGTTTCTGAGGAGCGGGGCGCAGTTCTCCAGCGCTGACGGCCTGGCCCTCCCGCGGGACGGCCTCTATTACCTCTACTGCCAGGTCGGCTACCGAGGCCGGGCGCCCCCTGCGGACGGGGACCCCCTCGACCGCTCGTTCACGCTGCGCAGCCGGCTGTACCGGGCGGGGGGCGCCTACGGACCCAGGACTCCCGACCTACTGCTCGAGGGTGTCGAGACTGTGAGCCCAGCCTTGGACCGCACCCGGAAGCTCTGGTACACCAGCGTGGGGGTCGGCGGCCTGGTGCAGCTCCAGAGGGGCGAGAGGGTGTACGTCAACATCAGCCACCCCGACATGGTGGACTACAGGAGAGGGAAGACTTTCTTTGGGGCTGTGATGGTGGGGTGATGATGGCAGCCCTGCAGGGTGGGAGTGTGTCTGTTAGCCCAGCTATTGGGGACCCAATCATCAGGGACCCCGTGGCAGGGATAAAATGCAGGACACTGTTTGGAAACTGATTTTGATCCTGATGAAAATAAAGAATGTCAAGCTTTAGTGCTGCCCATACAGGTGCTGACATGTTAACATGTCTCGGTTCAGGGTGGGCACACAAAATTGGTTAAGTATTCTCTGTGTTCTTCTGGATGCTTGAAACAAGGGTTGGTTAAGTATTCTCTTGTGTTTTACTGGATACTTGAAACAATTCATAACACGTTGTGTGGGGGCTGATCCCTGGGATGGGGGTCTGTAGTCCCACCCACCCTCTGCCTCTGAATGGCCTTGTCCCAGCATTGGCCCAGTTGGAGGGTAGAAGGAAGGGGATCTCCTCAGACTCAGAGCGCCTCCAAGCACCCTGATTCTCAGAGCCACATGAACACCACCCCACCCCACTGCACTCTTCTCTTGGGCCCCTCCAATATGGAGAGAGGGGTCATTATAGGGGAAGGCAAACACTACTCAGAAAGGCCCAGCCCCAGAGGAACCCTGGAACTGGCTGAGAACTGGAGGCCTGAAGGGCCCAGCACTTCTCCCCTGCGGGTAACCTGAAGGCCCTTTCACCGCTACCCCAGAGTTAACTTTCCTTCCAAGGAGCAAAAACAACAGCTCATGGGGTGTGAAGGGAGGAGGCTGAAGGAAAAAGCTGGGAGGGTGTTTCAGAGAGAGATGGTATGGGGATGGTATCTGAGGACGCCATGGAGAACCTGGGGAGAAGGAGAGGAGGAAAATCTGATGCCACCTGTTGTGGGGATGGAAAGTTCTCACCCCTCTTTCACACTTCAGGTCTCCTTCCCTTGAATGGGCAAATGTGGGGGCCAGGGTGAGTAACAGCAGCCCTCTCGTCCTATGACTGCCTTTCAGCCCTGGGCTGGAGGAGGCAGAGGGGGACTCCAGGCCCTATCGAGGTCACCCCAGTGGGTCACCCCACCCCTGCGGCACACCATGTGGTTTTCCCCTGCCTGCTGGTGACTCTATTTTATTTCTTCACTCTACTCCTCATTTTCCCTTTTTGATTAGGATTTTTCTCCTAGAAAACATTGTAGATCAAACAAAACATTTTAAAGCCCCTTGATGCCAAGGTGGCAGTGCCTTCCTTGGGTCCATCATGCCCCTAGGAGGGAAGACATGGGTCAAAGACATGCCTGCCATAGGAGTTTATAGTCAGCTCAATATTTGTGCCAATTTTTAGACTGAAGCATTAGGAAAGGATCAATTAAGATATTATTATTTATAGTTTTATTTATTTTCTTTAAAAATTGATTTTAGAGTAGAGAGAGGAGAAGGGAGAGAGGGGAAGGGAGAGAGAGAAGGAAACTTCTATTTGTTGTTCCACTTAGTTATGCACGTATTGGTCAATTCTTGTATGTACCCTGACTGGGGATCAAACTTGCAACCTTGGCCTATCAGTAGGACACTCTAACCGGCTGAACTAAGTGGCCAGGGCTGTTAGATATCAGTTTTAGAAACCAGTTTCAGTCTTGGGAATAGGTGAGTTCAGTTAAATAGTTGTCTCTCATTTTAAGAGGCTACGATGCAGGTAACTCCCAAAATTAGGCCTCTAGTGAAAATAATCAGGTATTTAATAAGAGGCATCTCTATGGAAACAAAAGGAAAACAATGCTTACTGATTGAAGCCGACTATAATCCCAGTTAGTGAGTTCTGAAGGCAGCCAGTCGAGAAGATTTGAGGATGTCTGGCTTGAGTCACCTTCAGATGGAGCGAAAGCAGGCGTGCAAGGGTTTGGTAGTTCTCGTGGTTTTCAATTCGAATGTCTTTTTTCTGCAACAGGCATGAAGGCTGTCCATATGTGAACTGTTGTAGTGATTTCTCCGAAGTTTTTATCAAGTTGCCCCACTTTCACCTGTACGGCTTTGGGAAAGGGGCAGTTTTAGTCCTCAGTGATTTTTCTCT